AGGACGTGTTGAAGCCTCGTGAGCTGTCTTGAGATCTTTGGGCCCTCATGACGCCCTCTTGAAGGTCTCGTGGCGGCTTTTCGTAGCGTTGTGGGACCCCTCTTGACGACGCCCTAGAGCTTCACACTGGGGGGGCCCGGGACATCTTGGAGTCATCATAGGATCTTGCGTGCGGAAGCTCTCTTGTACTTTCCAGGGGGCCTCTTTGGGACGTGAGCTTCGGTGAGGTACTCGGGGCCCTCTGGAGATTCACCGAAGGCATGGCGAATGTGCTCTCGAATTGGCAGTTTGAGCTCCCTCGGAAGCAGCTTGCAAACATCTTGGAGGCTTGATTTGGGCCCTCTTTGAAGGGGCCCCAGGACACACAAATAAATACACACAAATAAAATGATTCCCCATATTTTCCCATATTTTCTGGGTTTTTGTCTTCCCCCCCACTTCCCATATTTTCCGGAGGATCGAGGATTAATTTTGTCTGTGTGTTTTTTCTTCTCCTGATGATTGGGCCCTCTTGGGCAATCTTGATGCCATCGCTGATGCGTCTCAGCACCCTTTCGAGGACCTGGTGGGCACCGCTCCAGGAGGCACGCCAGATGGCCAGGACGCGTACTCCTGGGCCCTGCGGCGAGATGTCCGCCGACTTCTGCCGGACTGCTGACGTGGGATGTGCGGCGGCGGCTGGGTTTCGGGGGGGGGGGGGAGACAAGCAATGATGCCAGCACGGGGGCGGTCGCTCTTGATCGTGACAAGTCTCGACTGCCCCTGGCTCGAAAGATGAGCGCGAGAGGCTGGGGGGAGGACGAGGAGATGAAGAGAGACAGGAGGAAGAAGAGGGAGGCGAAGGAGGAGTAAGAAAAGGAGCGTGGGAGGGAGAATTGAGACAGAGTCCCCTGCCCCAGCGTCCCCCAGAGAGATCGAGAGGCGAAAGACGCAGGACTGCCCTCGGGAGGCGGACCTCACCCAGAGACTCCCATGGCCCAGCGCCCCCCAGAGAGATCCCGAAGCGAGCGACGCAGGACTGCCCTCGGGAGGCGGACTCGCGTCATTAGGCTTAGGCTTAGGGCGTGCATGTCCCCGTACACGCAGATTTCGGACGAACAATAAAAAAACACCCCGATCATATTCGAAGATGCCCAAAACAAAGTAGTCAGACATCGTCCCCAGGACTGTTTTTGTCCCTGGTTTGGAACTCTCCGCCTGTAGCCAGACATGCCAGACTGAAGCTGAAGACTCTCGTGTGCTCTCGCTTCGGGAGCGGCAAAGAAGGAGGCGTCAAAGAGGTGGGGGGTGCAAATCATGACCGGCGGCACGTGCGCGGCCCAGCGGAGGGGCCAGGGACGTATAATGGAATAAGAAGAGGCGCCACGAAATCTGGGAAAATATTATGGCCCGCGCCATGATATCCACCCCCCCCCTAGTCATCACCCCCCTCTTTTCCGCCCCCGACCTCAATCCCCCGAGCTTCCCGACTGGAAACTCCGGGATGCGCACCCGGGGGGTGGGGGGGCTATCCGAACGCACCCTGATCGAGAATGGCCGCCCCGCATCGGACGTCCCCGAGTGGGCCCCAGATCGTCTAGGCCATCGAGGGCCCCCCCAATTAAGCCGGGCACGTGCTTTGGTCGCCGAGGCTCCTGTGAAGCACCCTGGCGAGGCAGGTCATCACCCGCCTCTTTGCCGCCCCCGATCGTTGGGGCCCCGGGAGGCGGACCCCCCCCCCGCGGCGGCGCAGGCAAGGCGCGGCCGCGGCCGCCGAGGCCCACGCGCCCGGCGGGCGGCGCGCGCACGCGCACGCACGGCGGCCGCGCCCCCCCCGCGCGCGCGGCGGGCGCACGCAGCCCGGGGAGCGGCGCCGCCACGAGGGGCACGTGGCACGCGACCCCACCCAGAGGAGGAGGAAGGAGGGAGAGGAGGAGAGGAGAGAGGAGGAGGAGGAGGAGGAGGAGGAGGAGGAGGAGGGGAGGAGGAGGAGGAGGTCCAGGGAGGAGAGGAGAGGAGGGGAGGAGGAGGGGGAGGAGGGGGAGGAGGGCGAGGAGGGTTTGAATCGACCTTTGGCGATTTCATTCGTTTACGGATACGCTCTATCCATTGCCATTTGGCTGCAGGACCTCATTGCGGGACCGCAGGAGTCCCGGGCCCTAGAAGCCCCGCCTTTCTCCCTCACTTCCCACCAACATTCAATTGAGCCCAATACCACCGACGCTCACCTCGGCCACGACCAGAGAATTTGACCAACAGCGTCGTCGACACGGCAGCCCTCCCACATCTCTACAACCTGTGCTCCAGCGGCGGCACGACCACTGCCCCGCTGGGTCCTACCTTCTCCACAACTCTCACCGCTGCGCCACACCTCCACTACGCACTCACTGCCACACCGGCAGCAACAGCACGCGCTACCTTCGACTGAACGCGAAAACGTCGTGTCGATATTGGTCACCGTCGATCCTGGTCAGCGCCGATGTATGGCCCATCCCTGCGAATGGGCGACGGCCGACCTGGACCATTACCACCAAGATCGGCATCCACACAATCCGCGACATCTTGGTCATGGTCCCCATGCCTCTTCCCTCGAAACAACACAAGATGCCGATACCACCACCCTGCGTACCTCTCCTGCGGTGCGCTCTGACCCGGGCTCGAACGCGGGCCCGGCCGCGGCGGCGAGGGCACCCCGGGAGTTCACAAAGGGGCGAAGGCGAGCGGAAGGGTATCGCTACTGGCGCGCTTTCTTCCGCGGGGTGAAGAGAACGACAAGGAGGAGCAGAAGGGGAAGCAGTCAACAGCAGCAGGGAATGCTCGGCAAGTGCACACGGACCAGCGACGTCACGAATCTTTTGGATGCTGCGTCCCCCACACTGGGCCGTCTTCCTGGATCCCTTGTTGACGGTCACAAGGTGCCGAAAGCTTTTGAGAACCGCCGCCCGGATCGTCTCCAGAGGCTCGAGGTCGGGATACGGGGGCGGACGGCGCCCTCGCAGCACGAACGCCACGGCTCCTGGGGGAAAGGGATCCTTCAGGTGGCCTCCCCGTTGCCCAGGCTCCATGTGACCCTCCACGGTCCCGGGGAGCGTGACAAGAAACAACCCACCCAGAAAAGTGTGTCGAAAGGGTGTCGAAACAGTGTCGGGCGAGGGTCTCCAAGGGCCCGACACGTGAAAAGCATCGAGTCTGGGGGTACTTCTTGGGGCGCTCGCACTTCTTTCTGGTGACCAAGGCTAAAGTAGGTTGGAACATCGTAACCCATGATGGAGAGCTGATCTTGGGGAGGGTCCTGGGGCCCAGGACCCGTTGCCCTCATGAGCCCTCTCCTTCATTGGCGCGACCTCCCAGGACCTGACACACCATGCTCGCTTTCGGCGGCGAGCGAGGGGGGGAAGTGGGAAGGAGAAAACCTTTTCAGAAGGCGGCAGAGTTTCTCAGAAGCCTTCCGGCCTTCTGACAAGTGGTCCGTGTCTTCGGGGGAGGCTCAGAGAACTTCCCGAAGGCTCGAAAGCTCCCCAGCCTTCTGAGGAGGCCCGCCCCTTCTCCTAGGTCGGGCCTGTCCCCCTACAGGGGAATTTTGGACGAAAGATTAAGAATACTCATACAATAATCACACATGACAAAAAAAATACAGGAAATTTGTCCCCAGACTATTTGGGGATAATTCTTTAACATTCCTCCTGTAGAGGGACACGCCCGACTTAACCCTCCTCACTTCCCCCCCCCTTGGCCCGTCGCCGACTCTCCTTCCTGGCGAGACCTCCCAGGACCTATCACGTCGTACTCTCTTGGCGGGCTGGCTGGTGGATCCCTTCCCTGGCCTTCCAGGAGAGCTAAAAAAAGCACCACGACATCGACGTCCTGATTCCTGTCGAGGTTTGAGGCAGTCCAGATAGATCTACAGGTCTGGCGAGCTATCTTTTAGCACTCTGGAGGGTCAGGGTTCGAGCATACACAGAACCGAAGCAGGACTCCAGACCGAATCGAATCGGGATCACTGGGGAAGCGCTGAGATCCGGCGGCTCTGACAGGGCGCCGCGGACTTCCCAGAACGCTCCGGCCGGCTCTGAGAGCGTTCCGGCAGGCTCAAGCCGATTGTGAATGCTATAGAGGGGCAAACTGCATAACTGGCCATCGCTCGGACGTCCATTCCCTGTGCTTTTTTCGGTTTCGTGCGTGTTTTTTTTCGCCAAATGATCAAGGATGCTCCTCGATGGCCCTCGCCGAGAAAAATGCACACGTCCGAGCGATGCCAGGATAAGCATAAACTTCCTGAGCTCCGCGCGGATTTCTTGAATTGGCGCTGGCCTCCTTCCTCCCTGGCATGCGGAGCGCGCCAGGGGCGGCATCGGAGGCGCCGTCTAAGGGGCCCCAGCGCCGATCCAAGAAATCAGCGCGGAGCTCAGAGAGCTTACTTATGTATACGGCGTCTTTTCTTCGATACGAAGTGTTTTCGGCCGGCTGCTGGTTAGAGGCCTCCAAGATGGGGTTCGAGCGCCGCATCGCCGATGTAATCGCCGATGCATCGGCGATGCATCGCCGAAGTCGGCGGTGCATAGACGACCTCAGCGCGGAGAAAATCGGGCTCCACATCGAGCCGCATCGGCAATACATCGGCGATGCGGCGTGATCCTCCGACCCAGCTACACTCAAGAGCGACCCTAGGCAAGAGTGACCTTTGGTGCACGGCCTCAAGGGGGGGCCCTCTGGGGACACCGCAAGGCGCGCAAGCCGCTGCTATCGCATCGCGTTCAGCGATGGGGGGCCCCGTTAGCCCGCACCCAAGGTCGCTCCGGCGAAAAGGCACTCGGCAATCGATCGGCGGTGGACAAACCTCCCTTTAGTGAACCACCCTTTAATGAAAACGGCCTGGGACCGAAACCGAGGGACCTGGACCCGCAAAAATGAGGGCCGCGACGCCCTCTCGCGAACCGAAAACGGCCAATTCACTAATCGACGTGTCAGGGTAGGAGGTCCATCCACCCCCGAATCGACGGAACAGAATCCCGCGGCGAGTCCTCGCCCTCGTCCGGCCCCTCGCCGCCGGCGTGCAGGTCCCCTGCCCCCCGAGGGCGCGCCGGGCGCGCGCGCGAGCGGCCCGGCTCGTGGGCGTCCTCGGTGGCAACTCGTGGGAGCCTCCAATACCATCTTGTCGCCTCGTGCGAATCGACGCTAATCGACGCTAGTCGACGCTAGGCGACGCTAAATCGGCGCTAGCCGACTCTAAATCGAGGCTATCGCATCGACTCCCAAATGCTAATCGACGCTAATCCAAGCCAAAGACGGAATTCAGAGGATACACCAGGCTCCCATGATTCGCTACCGAAGGCGTCCGCGGGGGGGGGGCCGCCAGGGTTCCCTCCTCCTCCCGGCGGCGTGGCCGCTGCCCCGCAGGGTAGAGGTATAACCCTATAACCCTTGCGGACAGCTCCACGGACAGCTCCCTGCTCCCTCCTCCTCCTCCATCCTCGGCCCTGCTCCCTCCCCCTCTTCCTTCCTCTGCCCTCCTCCTCCTCCTCCTCCTCCTCCTCCGCCTATCCTCCTCCTATCCTCCTCCTCCTCCTCCTCCTCCTCCTCCTCCTCCTCCTCCTCCTCCTCTTCCTCCTCCTCCTCATCATCATCATCCTATCCTCCTCCTGCTCCTCCTCCTCCTCCTCCCCCTCCTGCTCCCTCCCTCCTGCCCTCCCGCCCTTCCCCGGTGGACCCTTCCCTCCTCCGCCGCAGCTCAGGCGCTCGATAATGCATCCCTTTGGCTTTGAGGCCGGAGCCCACACGTAGCCACCGCCCAGGGATCCGATGGCCCCAGCAGGGCCCCCGGGGGCAGCGGGGGCCCTGCTGGGGCCATGCCACCCTTGACCACCTTCCTGCCGCGGGCAAAGCCTTGATGGTCCTGGAGCCTCGGGCTTTACAGAGGCCCCTGGGACGCCGAAGCCATGGTCAAACCCCAGTCGTGGTTGTCTTCGCGGCGCCTGGACAGCTTCGGGCCTCCCGGGGGGCCCGGGGTTGCCCGCGCCCACGGGCTCCCGAGGGCAGGGGAGCTTGGCTCCCTGGACGGTGGACATGCACACGAAACGAAACCTGCCCTTCGGTCGGGCATGCCCCCCTACAGGCGGATTTGGACGAACAATCAAAAGTAGCCCAAACATACACAACAAGTGATCAAAAAATCCTCAAAGTCGTCCCCAGACTGTTTTCTACTATTTTTCAGTAGTCCTCCTGCGGAGAGACAGGCTCGACTGAAACCTACCCTGAGATCATTGCGTCTCCATGTTTTCGAGCCGAAGGCGTTCTCGCTGCCAGCGCCGGGCCCTGGGACCCTCACAGAGATCGATCAGGCTCGAAAAATGGTGCAGAAAGATCGGGTCTAAGGTTATGTTGCCCCCATCGTACTTAAAGACCACGTCCAAGAAAAAAAATCGAGCACCCGGAACAGTATGGAAATAGTGTCGAACGAGTATCGCCTCCCAGGGCCCGACACGTAAAAACCCGCCAGTTTCGGTACGTGTTTGGTGCTCGAAATTCTGTCTGGTGGCCCAGACATCATACGTCTAGGGCTCCAGGCGCGATTTCTCGCGGCGTCTCATTTTTTTGAGCAGTCGGATCTCAGCGTGAGACAAGGCAAGGACAAGGGTAAAGTCGAGTGAGGCTAAATCGAGAACCTCTGAGATCCGGCGGCTCTGGAGGATGTCTCGGGCGCCGCGGCCTTCTCGGAGCGTCCGGGAACGCTCCGAGAGCGTTCCAGAACGCTCTGAAACAGATTTATCCTCGTCCTAGCCCCGCCCGAAAGTCCCAGCCTCGGAGCTCTGGTCGCGCTTCTCCTCGCTGAGTCGTGACCTCTACTCAGGACGCCAGGTGCAGTGGTCCTCCTCCTCCTCCTCCTCCTATCCTCCTCCTCCTCCTGCTTCTCCTCCTCTTTCTCCTCCTCCTCCTCCTCCTCCTCCACCTCCTCCTCCTCCTCCTCCTCCTCCTCCTCCTCCTGTTGGGAGAGCGAAAGGATGCCGACACCGCGACTGCCTGGACCCCTGGTGGCGAGGGGCGGGCAGCGTTATCGGTATCTCCCTCCTCTAACCCCCACTCCACCTCACAAGGGGAACCCGTTCGGCCACGGAGCCCCTGGTCGAGGACCGCGGGCGATGGCGCAGCTGCTTCGCGATTCCCGCCGCCTGGATGCGGCGCGGGGATATCCGTCACCACCGCCGTGGGAACCGATCTTCGGGGACCTCGGCAGGCGGTGGATCTAAACAAATGTGGCCACCCGAGGGTCCCAGGGAGGAGGAGGAAGAGGAGGAGGAGGAGGAGGACGAGGTGGACGACGAGGAGGAGGACGAGGAGGAGCAGGAGGACTAGGAGGACGAGGAGGACGAGGAGGAGGACGAGGAGCAGGAGGACCCAGTGTCTCGTCCACCGCCTGCTGAGGTCCCCGACGATCGATCTCCCAGGCGGCGGGGAGGGATTAAGCCCTCTGCTTCCGACTGGACACCCGCTTCGAGGCCCGGGGCGGTCGAAAAAACTGCCCGGGGCGAAAACCAGCCCCCGCGCAGGGGGTGGGACCTGCCCACGTCCCAGCCCCTGCCCGACACTTTGGGGAACCAGTGCGAGACACATGACGACGGCGGAGATGCAGGACCAGGCATTTGAGGATCAAGGTTCTGCGTGCCTCTTAGGACTCCTTGCGTAATCGATCACGCACCCCTCGCTACGCATCGTTCATTTCTAATCATGCTCATTTCTAATTGTGCTCGTTTCAAATTGTTCCTGGCCCCCTAGTGGCCAGGAACAGGCCAAGAATAGAACAATTAGAAATGAAAGGATCTTGCCCCCCTAAAAAATCCGCCGGCACCCTTGTGGGACCACCAGGCTGTAGGCCGAAGCTTCGCAGTTTCCTGTACCAGTTGCAGTTTCCAGTTTCCACTCTTACAGTTCTGCTTCTTGCTGCTTATTGTTCCTTGTTACAGTTCTGCTTCTTGCTGCTTATCGTTCCTTGTTGATGGACTGCGCGAAGGGAGGGAGGCCCAAAACGGGCATTTTTACCACGCCCTGGGCGGTGATTCGCTGTAGGCGTCTTCGTTCCGCCGCCCCCTAACGATTCATCGCAGGGGTGCCTGGCGTTCTGGACTTCTCACGGTTTGGTTTTGGTTCTTTTTCCCGAAGAACCCCCCCTGGCGCTGCGGCCCGTCCCGCCGGGGTCCCAGGAGGGAGCTCCAGGCGCGCAAACGACCTCAACGTCCACAGCAAATTCTCCAAGACGGCTCAATATGGCATCCAAGATGGCCACGTTGGCCCAAGATGGCCTCCAAGATGGTCCCAGATGGCCTCCAAGTCCGCCGAAGATGGTCCAAGACGGCCTCCAAGACGCCTTAGAGAGTCCAAGATAACCCTAAGTTCGCCCAAGAAGCCTCCAAGACGGCCCAAGAGGCCTCCAAGAGGTCCTCCAGGAGGGCCCGAAGAGGCCAAAATCATTGATGTTCCTTAGGTTTGCTTCTTCTCGGCATTCCGACGGCTCAAGACGGCCCAAGAGGCTCCGAAGATCGCCCAAGAGGCCCCCAAGAGGGCCCCATGACGGCTCAAGAGGCCTCCAAGACGGCCCAAAGACGGCCCCGAGAGGCCCCCAAGCGGCCTCCAACACGCCCAAGATGGCCTCCAAGACGCCCAAAATGGCCTCCAAGACGGCCCTGAAGCGCCCCAAGAGGGCCCCAAGTCGGCCCAGAAAGCCCCCAAGGCGGCTCCCGACGGCGTCAGACGTGCCAGATGGCCGAAGTTGGCTCGAAGCTGGCCCAAGACTGCCCGAGAGGCCTCCAAGAGGGCCTCCAGGAAGGCCAGAAGCGGCCAAAAACATGTATTTTCCTTAGGCGTTTGAAGGATGTTGACATTCGCTTCTTTTCGGCCTTCTGACGGCCCGAGACGGCCCAAGAGCCCCCAAAGATCGCCGAAAGATGGCCCCAGAACGGCCCAAGAGGGCCCCAAGGCGGCCCCAAGAGGCCCCCAAGACGGCCCAGGAGGCCTTTAAGACGCCCACGATGGCCTCGAAGACGGCCCTAGAGCATTCCAAGAGGGCCCCGAGTCGGCCCATAGAGGCCCCCCAAACGGCTTCCAACGGCGTCTGACGGGCCAGGAGCCCACCAAGATGGCCGAACATGGCCCTAAGATGGCCCAAGACGGCCCAAGAGGCCTCCAAGAGGGCCTCCAGGAAGGCCCGAAAAAGCCCAAACAACTGATTTCCCATGAGTGTTTGAAGGATTGTGGCATTTGCTTTTTGTGCGGCCTTCCGACGGCCCGAGACGGCCCAAGTGCCCCCAAAGATCGCCCAAGAGGCCCAATACGGCCCCAAGAGGCTCCCAAGACGGCCCAAGAGGCCTCCAAGACGCTTAAGATGGCCTCCAAGACGGCCCAAGAGCCCTCCAAGACGCTTGGCAGGTCTGGCCTCAACGTTCGGCCACATAGGCGCTTCCAAAAAGGCAGGGGGTGGCGGTGATTCGCCGTAGGCGTCTTCGATCGCATCCACGACCGTCGCAAGATCCGCCGCCCCCTGTCGATTCATCGCAGGGTGCCTGGCGTGCTGGACCATTTCGGTTTTGGTTTTGGCCCTTTTTCCAAAAGAACCCCCCCTGGGGCTTCGGCCCGTCCCGTCGGCCACCCGGAAGGCCCCCAAGGTTCGAAATGTTTCGTTCAAGATGGCCCATGATGGTCTCCAAGATGGCCACGATGGCCCAAGATGGCCTCCAAGATGGTCCCAGATGGCCTCCAAGTCCGCCCAAGATGGTCCAAGACGGCCTCCCATACGGCCCAAGAGAGTCCAAGACGGCCGAAGACGGCCCAAGACTGCCCCCCAGAGGCCTCCAAGACGGCCCAAGAGGCCTCCAAGAGGTCCTCCAGGAGGGCCCGAAGAGGCCAAAATCATTGATGTTCCCATGTCGCTGCTTCTCGGCTTTCCGACGACCCAAGACGGCCCACGAGGCCCCCAAGATCGCCCCCACAGCGCCCAAGAGGCCTCCAAGATGGCCTCAGGACTGCCCAAAAGGCCTCCAAGACGGCCCCAAGAGGGTACAAAGACGACCCAATAGGCCTCCAAGACACCCAAGATGGCCTCGAAGACGGCCCTGGAGCACCCCAAGAGGGCCCCAAGTCGGCCCAGAAAGGCCCCCACAACGGCTTCCGACGGCGTCAGACGGGCCAGGAGCCCACCAAGATTGCCGAAGTTGGCTCGCAGCTGGCCCAAGACGGCCCAAGAGGCCTCCAAGATGGCCTCCAGGAAGGCCAGAAACGGTGAAGAACACTGATTGCTCTCAGGTTTGGAAGGATTCTGACAGTTACTTCGTTTCGGCCTTCCAACGGCCCGATACGACCCAAGAGCCCCCAAAAATCGCCCAAGGATCGCCCAAGAGGCCTACAAGACGGCCCAGAACGGCCCAAGAGATCCTCAAGACGGCCCCAAGAGGCCCCCAAGACGGCACCGGAGGCACTCAAGACGACCAAGATGGCCTCCAAGACGGCCCTGGAACATTCCAAGAGGACCCCAAGTCGGCTCAGAGAGGCCCCCCAAACGGCTTCCGACGGCGTCGGACGGGCCAGGGGCCCGCCAAGACGGCCGAAGATGGCACTAAGATGGCCCAAGACGGCCCAAGAGGCATCTAAGAGGGTCCCCAGGAAGGCCCGAAAAGGCCCAAACCATTGATTTCCGATTAATGTTTGAAGGATTGTGGCATTTGCTTTGTATCGGCCTTCCGACGGCCCGAGACGGCCCCCAAAGATCGCCCAAGAGGCCCAATATGGCCCCAAGAGGCCCCCAAGACGGCCCACGAGGTCTCCACGACGGCCCAAGAGCCCTCCAAGACGTCCTCCAAGAAGGCCCGAAAGGGTCAAAATGGCCTCGAGGCGGCCAAAATGACCTTCAAGATGCCCACGTGTTCCCCGACGGCTTTCCAAACCGCTTCGGGGAACACATGGTCCGATAGCTTGGCAAGTCTGGCCTCAACGTTCGGCCACATAGGCGCTTCCAAAAAGGCCGGGGGCGGCGGTGATTCGCCGTAGGCGTCTTCGATAGCATCCACGACCGTCGCAAATGCTCACTACTTCTTGGGGCCAGCGGAATGGCGCAAGCCACTTGGGTACTACGTAGGTAGCTGTGGCAATACAGCGATCGAAGACAAACTGTTCAATCAGGCAGTCGTAGCAATACTAGTGGTAGTACTACTACTACTGCTAGTAGTAGTAGTAGTAGTAGTAGTAGTAGTCGCCGTCGTCGTCGTGGTCGCAGTAGTAGTCGTGGTAGTAGTGGTAGTAGTAGTAGCAGAAGCAGTAGTAGTAGTCGTAGTCGTAGTCGTAGTCGTAATCGTAGTAGTAGTAGCAGTAGTAGTAGGTCGTCGTCGTCGTCGTC